CACAAAATGTTTCACTTGTTTTATTTGTACCCTACCGATTTTCAAAAAAAGATAGGAACAACTTTAGTTTATTCAAATGTAAATCTCTCAGGACTCCATCTGGAACTCATTTACTCAAACTTCAGTTATGGCTTGTGTCTACATGTTCCCCCAAGACCTCATGCAGTCTTAGACGGGGCTTTATCAGAGGTGGCTGAGTCTAGAGTGTGTGATGCTAGGATCAAGCATGTGTGACTATTAGTCAGTCCACTGATTGGTTTGGCACCCACCCTAAGCGGGGCAGCCTAGAGAGAATATAAAAGGGGCAGAAAGACACGCTGTTAAGATCTCTTGTTGCTTTGCTACCTTGTGGGTGCCATGAACCGTTCTCCTCTGTGTCACCCCTCTACCACGTGCACCTGTGCCTTAGAGCCAGCCGACTACGGACTGAAACCTTTACAAACGTGAGCTGAGTAAACCTTTCCCCCTCTAACTTTGGGTGTTGGGTATTTTGCCTCAGCAGCAAGAGAAAAGTAACTAAGACACTTTAAATGTAATTCAAACAAGTTGTCTAAGCAGCAGATAAATATGGCAGAAGATGCTACAGGTAGGAAAACTGATAACAGTAAAAGATGACAGGTGCCAGCAAGAAGGGAGACAGAAAAACTACAGTCCTCCCTCGCTGTATCACAGTTCACTTGTTGCAGCTTCACTGAATCATGGGTTTTTAAAAAAATATATCTAATTCTGTATTGCAGAGTTTTCGCTATATTGTATTGCGGGATTTTGTGGTATATAGGTATTTATATAATATTTATGATTTAATCATTTTTGCCTAAAAATTTAAAACAATATGAAAATGTTAATTCAAACATTTTAAAAGAATATTGAATTGAAATAAAATACTACATGTATTTCATCAGCAGATGAATACCATACTGTACACAATGGAAATGCAGTATGCTACTACTGCCAGTGGACCCACACCGGTGGGCGCTGGTTATAGGCGAGGAGGGGCGTGGCACCGCCCCTGGCCCCCACCGCCATGCTAGGAGCTTGCCTGGGCGGCCCAAGCGGTGCAGGAGGGGCCCTGGGCTCGGCTGGGCTGCAGCTGCGGCCGGGCTGGCCACTGCTCATCCGGCTCCGGCCCACTCCTGCCCTCCATCCGCACCTGCCCCGTGCTCCCCTCCTGCCCTCCGAGCTGAGATGCCATTCACCCGGGGGACCCCAGGCGCCACCCCAGCTGGAAGCCGAGGTTTTGGAAAGAAGGGTCTCCACAGGAAGGTGCACAGGAGTGTGGGAAGCGTTTATAGGAGTGTAGGAAGGATTTATAAAGCCTTAAAATATATACAAATAATAAAATAAATGTAATGCTGATTTTGACCTATCGCGGGGGTCTCTGGAATGTAACTCCCGCCATAGGTGAGGGATCACTGTACTAGAAGTCACATGAATTCAAAACCAACTTTCTGACTCATTTAGTGTGTTATCAAAGCATCTTTGAAGTCTTAAATCTATTCTAGACTTGGCCATTTTTTGACACTTTTATGGATGACCCTGAGTCTCTAAGACAAAGTAAAATTTTATCTTGTTAATGAACTTGGAATGTTCTTTGTTCAGAAAGATTTTTGCCTCACACCATTAAATTGAGAATTTTTGTGTTTAAATGATTAAACTTGCAAGTTACTTGGAGACTTAATTATTTAAAATGACTTGGTGCAAGGCTCAGCTTGAAAACAGGTGTGTTTGGGGTTTTAATCAGGTGACTCTGGGTAAAATTATACTTCCTGTCTTCAAAGGTATAATTTGGGGCTTCACACAGATCTTTGCAAATATTAATATGATTCATACAGAAATGAATCAGAGACACAAGGCTCAATTTTTCACCTGGAATCCACGTAGGTTGCAAGCCAAGTGCCCAGATAGATTTAGCACCTCCCCAAATAAAAAAGAATATTTAGAAATATAATTCAAGGCGTTTGATCTAAATTCCAAGACTCCTAGAGCAATCACACTTTTGGTTTGGTTGGTTATGTCTTAGACCCTTGGAGTTAGGTGGGTGTTTGGCTGCTAAATATCCAGTCCTCCTTGTTACTTGGAGTGACTCTTGGTGGAAAGCTGGACTTATCCATCTACCACGGAACCAGAAGCCAGCTCCTCTCTTAGCCCTGCTAGGGTGTGAGCATGTGATCCAGGATTGGCCTGCACTCTTGAATCTACAGGGCTCACTAATCATTGGCAAAGTCTACTACCAAACTCCATTTTGTGCAATTCCTGTCATATGCACTGCATTTTAAAGTGTAATTACTGAGGGCTTGTTGGTGCTAGGCCTTATTTTAAGGATCTTAGGCATAGCGGTGAATGAGGTCACCCCCAGATCCTTGTCCTTATGGAGCTTACATTTTAATAGTGGGAGAGAGCAAACAATAAAAATCAAGATGCATAGTGTGTTATGCTGTTGACCATGTGGTGAGGAAGGAGGGGATGAGCACTGGGTTAGGTTTCCTTTAGCGTGGTCTGAAGAACCTTCGCCCAGAAGATGGCTGTTGAGAACAGATCTGAAGGTATCTCAGTGAGTCCCACGGGTGTCCAGAGAGAGGATTTTCCCTCCAGATGGACAGCATGTAGAAAGCCTGAGAGCTGAGGAACAGAGAAGCTGCTGGGGTGTGAGAAAGTGAGAGGATCAGGAGAGGCAATCGGAGAGGCAAAGGGGCCAGATTGTGTGGCATATGGTTTCTACTCAGGGTGAGGCGCTGGGAGGATTTTGAGCAGAGGAGTGAGCTGATGTGCTTGTATTTGGTCGTGTTATAAGTTGGTCACTGCCATGTTTGAAGAGTGGCCCCCAAAAGGTGTGCCCCTGTTGTCAGCTCCATAAATAAGAAATGGGGTCTTTGCGAATGTAACTAAGAATTTTACTTAGACTTAGGGTGGGGCTTAAACCCAATGACTGGTGTCCTTATAAGAGGAGACATGGTCACAGAAACACCAAAAACACTGAGAAGAGGCAATGGGAAAACAAAAGCAACCATAAGAGGGACACACATACAAGACCCAGGGACTCCAAGGTTGCCAGCCACTGCCAGAAGCTAGAAGAAGCAAGCAACGTCTACATCCCCCCCAAGGCCTGCAGAAGGAACCAACCTCACTGACACTTTGGCTTATAGAACTATGGGACCATAAATTTCTGTAGTTTTTACTGGGTTTGTGGTATACAGATCCTCTGTATCTGTCGGTTTCAATCAGCAAGGGTCAATAGCATTAGGAAAAAAAATCACTTCTGTATTAAATATGTTCACACTTTTTGTTGTCATTATTCCCTAAAAAATATGGTGTATCAACTATCTGCACAGCATTTACATTGTATAAGGTATTATAAGTAATCTAGAGATGATTTAAAGTATACAGGAGGATGGGTGTAGCTTACACGCAAATATGTACTTGAATACATACCTGAGAGAACTTGAGCTTCAGCCCATGTTGGCATTCACAGGCCCCCACAGGAGAGTGAGGGAAGAGGTCAGTGGCAAGGGCAGCCTTGCCTAACTCATCATGTTGGTCTCCGTAAAACAGACTCTTGGGGAAGCAAAGGATTGCCCCACGGAGTCTGTTGTAGTAACCTAGGTAAGACTTGGTGCTTAGACTAGAATGAAAATCAGTAAAACCCTAGACATATTTGGAAGGTAGACCTGAGAGGATCTGGTGGCAGGTTGGAGGTGAGGTGTAGAAGTTTTCTGTAGCACCTAAGCATCCAACCAATGACCTCGAGCCGCTCCACCAGTGTCTTAATGCAGACCACCTTTCAGTGAGCGTTTCCAGCTAGCAGCCCAGTCGGCTCTGCTGAAAGGAGCTGCAGGGGGACAGGGGACACGGTCCACCATGTAGACTTCCTGTTCCTGTCAGCCACACTGCAGCAGTGGCTAGTTCCAAGTTCCAGCTTTCACCACGCTTCCGGGATCAGCACCTGCTGGCTGTCACTCCTCCTCAGAGTTCCCGTCCAGCTCTGTGGGCCCCTCTTGGAGACTGTAGGTTCTGTGAGAACAGTCCTCTCCATCCCCCAGCCCTGAGGTGGAGGCCACTTTCTGCAGTTGCTACCTCTGTGCTTACCTCAGGGGTCCTGGTGTGCTTTTTGGATCTGTTATACCTGGTTAGCAATTGTCTACACAAAACTTGGTCTGTTGGAATAACTGGTTCTGTTTCCCAAATACACTCTAATGCAGAAAGCACCATGACTTCAAGCAAAACTTGAGTGACAGGAAACCCTGAGATGCCATTGAGAGAGACAGGCTCAGGGGCAAGTGTTGGAGTCTGGCTGAGACATGGTGAGAGATGGTGAGGGGCCTTCTGGGCATGTACTTGAGTTCAGGGGAAAAGCCCACTGTGTGTGACGTAGGTGGTAAGGCGAGGCAAAGCTGGCTGGAGAAGTGGGCCTGACCTGTCAATTGCAAGATTCCGGGGCAGCGCCCAGTGATTCTCAGGACCCGTATGTAGAATTCAAGGTTCTCACCAGGTGTAGAGGCATGAGGGAGACTATAGGCCAGAGGAGCCTGGTGTGTTTTTATTTTTGCTTTTTCTCTTTTCCTCTTTTGTTTGGCCTAAGTTCACTCTGCAGAGCCAGTTTTCCCCTTACCCCCTCACTCCACAGTTTTCAAATAAATTTCTGGCACCATTTTTGGTTTGTCTTGTACAATTCTCTGTTCGAGGGAAGAAGGACCTGGAATAGTTTTAATTGGTGAGCTGTTTTTAAATGAGCTGCCTGACAACATGTGGGCCACCAACAGGGACACGTAGGTAGCACCACAGGACTTCAGCCTACCTGGAGATATTCTGGGCCTCCTTTCTCTTTTCTGTCCCAGCAGCAGCACAGAGAGAGGTTTCCGAAATATTTGTTGAGGGAGGGACCCATGGGTGAAAGACTCAGTGAATGGTACTGGTTGAGTGATTGTGCTTGCGACAGTGAGCTGTTTTGAAAGTAAACTTCCCTAGGAATGGGACAAAGAGGAAGAGAGGGACGTGGACAGATTACTCCTCAGAACCCACAGACCTGTCAGCCAAATGCAGAAACCAAGTGCGCAGTCTGGCGTATGACCTCTTGGAATTCTCTGGAACCCAAGACCTGGTTTTTCTCCATTCCAAGCTAGTCTGTGGGCGCCGAGGCTTGGTTTCCGAACAACAACACGAGCCCCCTCTCTCTGAGCTGCCTTAGGAAGAAAGCGTGGTCCTTTCTACTCAGCATTTCTTTTTCTTATTCACCCAGGCCTCCTACTTGCCAGCCGCTTCCAGTTCTGGTGACTTATTCATTATTCATCTCTTCTCCTCCTTTTACTTGGGAGCAGGACTTCGCCAAGCTTAGTCTCTCATCTTTGGTCAGGATGAACAATGGCAGGTAAGGCCCTGCTGCTCTGGCCAGGAGCTGAGGGAGTGACCCCAGGGTCCCAGGTGGCCCCAGCGGGTGCTGGCAGCCGAGGGCCTCAGGTGTGAGGCGGCGGTCACCATTCTGCTTTTTTCTTTGTTGGTTGCAGCAGCATCGGAGGTGAGCAGTGAAGGCCCTGAAAGAAACAAAACCGGGTAAGAGAAGGAGCCCGGAGCTGTGCCCTGCAGCCCAGGAGCCTGGCCCGTGGGCCTGTCCAGTGTGTTGGGGGTGGGGGCGGTGCTCTTCCTGTCATACATTGTTTTCATCCTGAAGAATTTTCCTCAAAATAAGAGGGTAGCTCCATCTGCTCATCTATGATCTTGATTATGTCAACTGTGGCACAAAAAGAGTTAAACTTAGTGACATTTCAATACGTTTGACTTAAAATACTCTTGGGAATTATTTGCCGTGCACCTCCCCAGGTTTTGTTTAATGTATTCGTGTCAAAAAACAAATGTTAAGCAACAGCTGTGAATTTTAGTGCAAACACCGAGTTTTGTCTCCTGCCCGGGTCTGTTGCGGAAACAGGGTTTGCCCTGACCGCTGTCCCTGCGGGGGCGCCTGCAGCTGGGCAGTTCCTTCCCCATGGCTGTATGTGACCTTGCTGTCTGTGAGTGGCCCGGAGCAGCCCAGTCCGAGAGCGAGCCACCATGCGGGTGGAGCAAGCAGGCCCCTCTGTGTGCTAGGACTTTGGCAGCTGGACTTTGCTAGGACTAGCTGGCCCTGTGGCATATTCCGAGCGATGGGTAGGTGGTAAAAGGGGAAGGTCTCAGTCCCTTTTCTGCCCAGGGTGAGGCTGAGCACTGCCCCCTTCTTCTCATCTTCTATCTGCCGTGGCTTGGGACATCTGATGGGAGCCACATCGGTGCTATCAAAGGACGAGCCTGAGCGAGCAAGGTTAGGAGGGCAGAGGGAGAACAGAGAGGCACACTGCTCTCCTTACCCTCTGTGTTGTCACTGCTCTAAAGGTGATTTATGCCAGTGTGCTGGCAGCAAAGCCAGCTGGGTGCCTTTGCTGGCTGTCTTCACACAAGAGGAAGGGAGGGAGATATGGAGAATGTGTGATCAGGAAGCAATAAAGAAATACCTGACCCTCCCAGTGCAATGGGTTAGGGCTTACCCGGCCCACTGACAGATACGTTGACCTTTTCTGTGAGCTGTATTATGATTAGTGTGTGTGTGTGTGTGTGTGTGTGTGTGTGTGTGCACGTGTGTGTTGCTGGGGACTCAGAATACTAGGCAAGCACTGTACCACTGAGCTACATCCTCCGCTCCTTTTATTTTGAGACAGGTCTTGCTAAATTCCCCAGGCTGAGCTCGAACTTGTAATCTTCCTGCCTCAACCTCCTGGATACCTGGGATCACATGTGTTGCCACTAGGCTGCATATTATGATTTTTAAATGACCACAGAATCACTGCATATAGTCACCGATGCGTATCGTCACAGGTGCATTGGGAGCTCCGCGTGTTCTCCTTCCCTACGGCTTGGCAGGGAGCTGGCTGTTGGACTGGCCTGCCCTCCTCGCAAGGGGGCAGAGAGGCGCCCACTTTCCCCAGAGGCAAGGGCCTTATGCGGGGCGGGATGGTGCTGGCTGCGAGTGCGGCTGGGTGTCACTTGGAAACATCTCCGCTCTCTGCCAGCGGTGGCTTTGTCAGACAGATGCCATGGCCCAGGGAGAGGGATTACGGTTTTGTGGTCCTGGTCCCACTACCCCAGATCCTGTGAGTCACCTGGCTGCTCAGGGCAGTCACTGTCTGTTTTGGGAGTAATTCCTTAAGCTCAGCCGAAAACATGAAGAACCTTTCTGGGGTGCATATCCGTGCAGTGAGAGCCCCTTGATGGAGCGGGTCAAAGACTTTGCAAACCTTTTCTATCCAGAGTGAAAACAGCTTTTGCCCACTTAAAGGTCAAAACTCCTACATCAAGAATTCAGTTATTTGGCAGTGTGGCTCTCCTGGCTCTGACACACACCTTGGTTGTATTTTTAATCAAAAAAGAAACTCTCACACACTCCAGTGCCCTTAGTCTGCTTTCTCCAGCCCTGACCCGGAGCTCAGCCAGAACCTTATGCCAGACTGTAAACAGATTTTCTTTGCCTGTTTGCCAAATATGCCTGTTTAGTGTCAAAACAGGAGAAGATGTGACAAGTTCACCAGATAGGAAGGTATAAGCATAAAGAAAAGATAAATAAAATTTAAAATATAATGTTAAAATTCCCTACTGGGTCCTGAGGATGTAGCTCAGTGGTAGATAGAGTGATTGGGGATCAACCTTCAGTACAGAAACATAAAATCATAGTAGAAGTTATTCATATTTTCTCAATTCTCTAAAGGCTGCTAAATTCATAACTTTTTAAGAATTAACACACCATGTATTACAGCAGCCATTGATATTTTCCTACTAATCTGTCCATAACTCTGTAATGTTTGTATTGTTCCTATGCTATTTCATAAATGAATGCATGTTAATTATAATATGTTTCCTACAACAACCATTGAGAATACTTAATGATTATTCAATTGGTCACTCATGTATAGCTCTATTTATTTTCTTTAGAAACAACTTTGAAGATATCAAAGGATAGTACAACAACCATTGATAATAACTTACTGCTTTTGTCTGTAGCTCGCTATTATTTGTCTATTTGTTTTTTTGTTATGTACTGTTTTGTATATAACAATACATAAAACAACAACCATTGATAATTTCCTACCACTTTGTAATTCGGTAAGCATCCCTATTACTATGTTATCTTTCTTTTACTCTTTAAAATAAAAAAAGAAAAAAAGAATTAACAAAGAGCAGGTTGTGGCGTACTCCTATAACCCCAACACTTGGGAGGCTGAGGCAGGAATATGGCTGTGAGTTCGACACCACCTAAAGTAAGTACATAGTGACTTCACAGCCAGCCTGAACTACATAGTGAGACCCTGTCTCAGAAAAAATCAAAAGAAAGAAAGAGAAAGGAAGGAAGAAAGAAAGACAGAAAGAAAGAAAGACAGCCAGCCTGTACCCTGAGTCTGGCTGGTAATCCAGTGAAGGAGACCCTGAATGATTTAAGGACACTCATCTGCTTGTCATGCCTCTGTCTCTGTCCCTTTCCACCACTGTCTTTTTGCTTCAGTCGCCGTTTCTTTTTGTTTCTCTCCTTCTCTTCTTTGCTCTTGGACCTTCTCTCTCCATCCACGCACTGTACAAAATAGGATGTGTAATTGTGTCCACACATTCATTGGAAAGTCCTGGAAAGATTGTGTCTTCTTTTCTCCCTGCCCCGTCTTGTGTTTTAACAGCCACTGTGTTTGACTGAGGGGATTATGCATGACTTTGCTTGTCGCCTTCATGTATGTCAGTATCTTTCAACTTTTTCAGTCGGTAAATATAAATATATCTTTCATATTCAGAGATTTTAGATAAAACTAAGACTAGGACACAAATGTGTTGTTCTACGGGAGCTGAAGGTAGGACAGGGGTGTGAAGAGCCATTTGCACAAGAGTCTGTCTCTTGCCTAATGTCCTGGGGGGTGGGAGGAGATGGTGCCCTGCTTACTGTGTCTCCCCAGGCCTAGGGAATGGGGTCTGGGTACACAGGGCTGGCTTTGGTGGGTGCTCATGGAATGAATAATAAGAGAAGGTTCCATGGTACAAAAAGGACAGTTTCAGAGGAGACAGCTGGTTTTCAAACGTTGCTGTCAGAGATTCAGTGTACTTGAAAAGGACTGTGAAAAGGACTGTGGGTTGGAGCTAAAAGGCTCAAATTGGATATAATTTAAGTGGAACTTAACAAAACTCTCATTAAATTCTGGTGATCTCTTATTAGAGAAACTGATACAGACAGAGTTTCAGAGGTGGTTATCTCGAGGAAAATCAAATATGACAATATTTCATAAGCAAGAGAATCTTCTGCGGGAATCCCAAATTCTGCTTGTGTAACGTCTGTCACGGCAGTTGTGGGATGTGCGGGGCACGCCAGACTTTGTGAGTGACCAGCCTGTTTCTTTCAAGGAGAAACACTGATGGATTTCTCTGGTGCCAAGGCTGCCTGGGGAGGGGGGAGCCTGACCTTCCACTCTCCCCATTCCACATAATATGTGTGTTCAGCCAGCCGGCACAGACACTGGCTGGCTCAGCAGCGCGCAATGCAGGCAGCTTCCAGCCTCCTGGAAGCAACTGCCCAAGGTATCTGGTCTGAGGATGATGGAAGTTTAGCGAGACGGTAAAATGTTAAGCTGCTTCACACAAGAAGATTCATCCCAGCTGTTACTTTTAATCTTTCTCCAAAGAAAGTCCATCTCCAAAGCTGAGCACTCTGGGACGTTAATGGTGGAGAATCCACAGCCATATTTTTTTTCCTACAAATCACTTATATAAGCTCTTAGGTCTTCTCTGGACTCTTTTATATCACTGAGATGTTGTAGAATATCTTCTCCTGAGTTTCAGAAGATGAAGGAGGAGGAGGGGGAGGAGGGAGAGAACATCACTAATATCCAACAGAGTTTGGTGATGATTCTTTAAAGTGTGAGGTGCAAATTCTGCTTATTGAGTAGTCATTTGTCTTGGCAGGATGAAAATAGTCACTTTGGCCCTATGAAAAGACCTTGTTTTTTTTTGTTTAGAGATCTTCTAAAAATATTTTTTGACATCAAAATGACTTGAAAAAAGACTGAAATTTCACCAAGATAATTTCTCGAGGACATTTTATGCTTAGCATCAACTTTGGGCAATTTGTGGGCTCCTCTGCATCTATAAACTGCTATGTCTAAGATCCCATTAGCATTCATGGAAATGCCGCTGTTTGTGATGGCTTTTCTCGCAGACCTGATTACCTGGCTGGTATGAACGGGTCAGCCTGTGTGTCCCCGCCACCTCCCGTGTGGCATACAGTATTCTTCACCTCAGCCTCTTAGGTGCATCTGAAAAACTAGAGCCCTCAAAACAGTGATGACTCCAGGAACGTGCTGCTGACCTTTGGAAGCTTTGTGGCCACTCCAGGTCAGCTGCAAACTGTGGGAGACACCTACTCAGCTTCTCTGCTTCCCACACACTCTGTCTATTTCTCCTCATTCAAATATAAATTTGCTGAAGTGGCGGAGGAGTAACTAAGTAAAGACTGTACTGCTTTCCTATGCAGAAATTACACGCCTGTCTTGATGAGG